GCCACGCCCTGGGTAAAACCTGTGTAAGGAGCAACCACATAGAGCCTGACATATCATCTTCAAGAAAGAATCAATAACAGTATTGATGGATGCAATGCTGAGCTGACAGAACTGAAAGTAGTAGTTTTTTTTTACAAACTGTCGTATTTCCACACATTGACTTACCTTCTGCTAGAGGTAACGCCATAAACTTGTTAGAAGTAGGATATAAGCTTCACCTAATATGTGCTGAAATAGAATCCATGGTTTCCTTACAAAGGCCTTTTCTCTATGTGCTTTGATCTATATATGAGGAGTTATTGCAGTGTTGTATTTCTTCCCTGTCCCTGCCTACATGCTGTTGAAGGGTAACCTGGTGGATGCTGAGGGGACACACCCCTTTGAAAGCTTTATTTGCTAGCTCTAAGGGATAGATAGCTGCCTGGACCTTGAGCCCCTTGAGAGGTGGTTCTTCTGCAGTGTGCTGTAAGGTGTCTGCAGCAAGTGGGGTACTTGCCAGGGGATTGTCCTTTCTCAAGATGGGTCAAGGCAATAAAGTCAGTAGGAACTGTACAAAATGGTCCTTGCAAAATAGTGGTTAAACCCAGAATAAGCCTTCCAGCTTTCCAGAGTACTGTCACACACTGCTATATCACGGGATACGCTAACAAAGATTGGAATTTGTTTGAAAAGCACAGTCTTTTGATGTGTTTTTACACCACTAGTAAAATCTAATTACTCCTGTGCAAGCCCTCTGCTAGGAGATGGTATCTGTGAAACTCAGGTGTTATAGGAAGAAAAAAATGCAGTGGGAATTGCTTGATAGTGTGCCTCAGCACTGAATGCTCCAAGTTGATGCTGAAGTTGGTAAGTATGGTGAAGGGAGGAAGGCAGAGTGGTCTATATTGCTTCTGCCTCCAGAATGGACAGGTTGTTTCTCATCTCAAGTATATAGTGACTGCCCTCTGCAGTGGACTGATCCTTTGTCAGTTCTCTTGTCACAGAAGGGTAAAAGAAAGTAGGGTATTAAAGATAAATAATGGGACACATCCTTAGATACGATCAGAGGAAAAAACATGTAATTTGGAAGGGGGAGATGGCAAGAGCTGACTTTGGAGAAGGTACTCATCAGTGTTGGGAGCCTGAATAGGTGGGAGAAGGTATCTTGCACAAGAAGCTTATTAGAGAAGGCACAAGGCAGTGTAAGAAACAAAGATCAAGAAAAGCTTTTTTTTCCTGTCACAGCAGGCAGAAAGATGCATGCAACGGTAGATCCTGTGAGGCAATGGGTCATATTTGCATGCAATGCAAAAAGCAACTAGGAGTCCCTATAAGACTAGAGGAGGAATAACCTGGTATTTTTATCTTTCTTTGGCTTATGTCTGTTATGTGTCTATTCTGTAATGAAGTCAAGCAGAAATTTGCTGGGAGCTCTAAGATGCTTTGTAGTGGTTAGGGGAAACACAAGGAAGCCTCCTTAGCTCAAGCAGAGATGTTGGTAGCATACTTGTGCCAGGACATGCACGAGAACCACTGCCACAAACTCTTACAATACAGGGAGTGAACAGTACCCTTCATGTTTTAGTCAGATTGGTAAAACCCTCTACCTTCAGAGGTCCCTTTCCTGTACTTGCTGCTACAGAAATATACTAAGTATTTCATAAGCACACAAACCTGTTTTCCTAGTTTTGTAGGGTTTTGCGCACAAAGTGGTAAGTTTCAGGGAAACAGTTTTGTTCTTTTCCTGTTAAATTTCTTTCAGCACAGGATAGATCTTACTAATATCCTGTATTACTCAACTCCTATGACAAAACAGGTCATCTGATCTGTTAGATTGGGAAAACACTTGGGTTAAAAACCCAACAACCAGCTCTTCAGTGGATATAGTTCCATGCAACCTGGGCAGGGGAGCTTGCACCCCCCCCTTCCTGGGGAGGAAAAGCACAGCTACCAAAACTGCTGTGACAAAGCTGCCAAAAGCTATTGGCCCAGCCTGGGTGAGGAGAGAGGTGGCTGTGTACCAGCCTCTGCTGTATCAGATTGGTCTGAGATGCTGCCAATTGCAGTGGTGCCCATGGGGCAGTGCTTGCTTCTTCCTCTGGTGTTGGTGCCCTGGTCTCTTGTTGTTTTGATGGAAACTTGAGGCTTCAAATTACTTTCTTGCCTTCTGCTTTAAAAGTGCCTTTTTTTTTTTTTTAGTGCAGTGGTCATTGTGGGTAAGGAGAGCATGAACTGAGAACACAAGTATGCTTTCCTCAAACGGAGACAAAAAGCCACTTTTCTTCTTGCAAGAAGGACCTGTTTTTTTCCCCTAGTCTGTGATGGACAGAATCATCACTTTAACCCTACCATTTTTTAGTGATGTGGAACAGATAGCTGGCACTATTGCTGTTCTATGATCTTGTAAGTCTCTGGCCTCCTTATGGTCATCTTAACTTTTTCCACAGATTGGCTTTTCTAAGGGGAAAACATGCCACTTAACCTTTCCCCCCACCACCACACAGAGTTAAGTGTGTTTTTTGAAAGGAATAATATTGGGTATGTGATCTCTCCCAGTTTGATTTTTTGGAAGAGGTCATCAACCAAAGCAGAAGGCTGAGACTTGTAAGATTATCTGCACAGTTGTAACATAGCTTAGATTTTCTTCTCAGTTTGAATACTCTGGCCTTAAAGGTCTGCTGGGGGATCAGCTCTGGGGTTTAGATTTGCAGTCCCCTTGCTGTGCTGTGCTCAATGTGCAGTGTTGCCCCTGAGCTCTCTATTTGCACACTTAGGTTTGTCAAGCCACAAGCACAGGTAGAAGCAGACAGCTGCATGTGCTCAGGCTTCTGGCTTTGCAATTCATGAGTTCCTAGCAAAACAAGCAGGGACTATAGGTTTCTTCTAATGCTGCTGATCTGGGTGCCTATAAAAGCTGAAGAGTGCTTGAGCCAGGAAAGTGAGTCTCAAGCAGAATATTATTTAATATTGTGTGACTTAGCAGTAGGCTAGAAACAGTTCATGAGGGTGTTCTTCCGTCACTAAGCACTTCTGGTTTCCGAACAGGGGCAATGAAGTGAGATGAGATTGGAGAGGCTTTTGTAAGTGATGCTGTAGCAGTGAGTGCAGGTAGAGCAGCAGCCCTTCTCTCTGCCAGGCTCCCCACTGCACCTCTCCCTTCCCCTGGGGTACTGCTGTGGCACAGTAAATTGAAATAATGTTGTTGTGACATACTGTGTGCTACTGAGGTTCTTCAGCATAATTTAACATTGTTTTGTCAGTGCAGCCCTAACAAGGAAAGTGGCAGGTATATGCAGGCTTTGTTCTTGCTGTGTGCTTTGTGAGTAAGCCTGCACCTACACACCTGTGACACCAATAAAGTGCTTTTGCATGGGTCTGGAAACCTCTGTTTGGGTTTGGCTCTTTGCATGATGTATCACTTCATCTTTTTCCCAGCTAGAGCTCTGCACCTTCTCTTTGAGGCAGGCTTGGGAGTTGGGCACCTGCCACACAAGAAATGCTGGTTTTTGTGGTGCAGCTGGCCTATTGCTTTTCTTCACTGATACCTGAGCCCTTTGGCACTTCAGTTGGGACCCTTTCTGCTGAGAAGCTACAAGGGATATACCTTCCCTTAAACTCTTGCTTAGCCCCTTGTGTGAATCTCCAAAGCTCTCCCTATGATTTTATTTGGTAAACAAGTTTAGGAGGTTAGAGAAGACAGCTGTGGGCAGCAAATCTGTGTCCATCCTTGAATGTGATACTCTCACAATAGTGAGAAAGGGCTCCCATGGTTGAGGGAGTTGGGCTTGTTGTGGAAGGAGTATACTCACAGGTGCTTTCTGTGGGAATGCCTTTCCATACTCTCACTGAATACTGACATTAGTAAACACTTTCCAGTGTCTTGGAGGTAAATCAAGTATGTTGTTCCCTTCTTGAAGGAACTTATTGGAGAAGCCTTTGGATTTTTCTCTTCATAAATGCTTTGCCTAACCAAAGCTCTAGACTTATGAAGCTTGTTGTTTACTCTCAAGTTTAAATTTTAAATGTCTGCTGCAGTGCATGGTATTTGCCCTTATCTCACTTTTGTAGAGTTTTTTTGATAGTTAAATAGTCCTCAAAGGAGAGAAGTGTGCTGAGAAGCACACTCAAACTTTCTAGTTTGCCCTGGCTTCTCTTTTGCCTGCAAGACAACCCTAGGCTTTTTCCTTTTAAAACTGGAAGGATTCAGTCTGTTCAAAGCAAACTGTTGCTTTTGCCTTACCCAAGTGCAATCCCCTCTTTCCTGCAACACTTCTCCAATACCTTTTTCCAGATATTTCATCCAGAAACTAATTTATACACACAGTGATTTACTGCAAACACAGGCACTGATGTTAAGAGGAACCTGGAGACACACAGGCAGAGATGATAATAAAATAAAACTAGATATTATCTAAAATTTGATTGCATTGTTCCAGATCAGCACACAGCAATGTTCCTATTTCAGCAGCATGTATTTTGCCTCTTCCTGTTAGTGTGGTAACTTAACTGGATTGGTTTTGTCCTGTTTTGCAAGAAAGACCACTCTTTCTAAAAGCTTTGCTGTAGTATGCTGAACTCTTACCAGTCTGTTTAACATGCTAAAACTTATCTGGCCTTGCATGGTGGGTTTTCGTCTGATCCACTTGTCCTTCAGTGTGAAGATTTAAGATTACAAAGCCATGCAGTGTCATTACAGTCACCCAGAATAAAATGGTGGGTGGAGGGGATATTGGAAATACTGACACTTGGCACTTGGATAAACCTCAGGCATTTTCAGTAAAGAATAAGAATGGTATTGTTCTTGTGTGACATTGTACTTTAATATATAAATGCATCTGTCAACAAGATGCCGCCTGTCAGAAACTAAGTTTGTTCTTGTTTTGGTATCCCTGTCCTTTTATGCTGGTTCTTTGTCACCACCTCTTTAAATAACAGAGCTGTATCCTGTGTTTACTTCTGATGTTACTAATGCAAAAGTGAGCGTATTTGTATTATCTAACATGGCTTACTTGTTCTTGCAGCTTGCAGGGACAGCAGTTCTTGCAATTGGACTATGGCTTCGGTTTGATTCGCAGACCAAAAGCATCTTTGAACTGGAATCCAACAACACAACATTTTACACAGGTAAGCTAGGAGATGGCTTGTGGTGATAGATTGCACTTTTGCACCCTGATTTCCAGGCTGCTTAGAAACCTTAGCCTTCCTTGAAGGCTAAAGATGTATCAGCCCTGAATAGCCTCAGCAGGGTGGAGAGCAGCTTCCTCTGGCTGGTGCAGGGGGCGAGCCATTCTTGCGAGCTCTTGCACGGACAGCAGCAGCATCATGCTAGTGGTTCCTTGGCTCTTTGTGTTGTATATCACTTCAGCTTTTTCCCAGCTTAAACCCTGCAGTTCCTCTTTGGGTGCTGTTGGTAAGTGTGTTGTAATCCCAGGGACTCCTGCTAAACACGGAAGATGTCTCCTCTTGATGCTTCTCACAGTGAGTCAGCAAAGTTTCACTGCAAACTGAGTAGTCACAGATGATATCAGTAACTAATTTTTTCCTCTCCAACCTGAGCTACCCAAATCCACAACTCTATCACTTCATCTCTCAGGAGGAGCATATTGTCTAACTCTTACAGCCCTATGTATGCTAATGTATATTGAATGTAATGGAAAGGATGCGCAAATATCTTGGCTTATATGAGCAACTATGAGAGGCAGCCTAGATCAGTGTAGCTTCAGTTAGGCCAGGTGGAAGTTATTCCTTGATGTATTCTATTTTGCAGGATTACTAAGTAGGGAACAAACACATGTTCAGTTTGCTATTCTCATCTTCTAAGAATTCCTAACTGAATCGGACCTTATCCTAAGTGTAACGTTTTGATCTCCACATTCACTTCTAGGCTTGGGCAGAGGAATACATGCTGCTTTGGTGGTTGCTACCTGTAGGTGCTCAGCCCCTTTTGCTGAAACTGAGTAGTTGTGTTTGAAGACCTCTAACAATTGGGAAGAAAGCAAATCCAAATATATACCTTATGTATATGTGTTGTCTTTGATTTGGACAATTCTTGTACATACATATTTTGCATCCCTGTAGCACCTAGATTTGCCATGTCCTATATGGCATCATTTGGCTGTCCATAGGGTGGTTAGGCTGGGATTATTGAAATGCTTCTGTGACTTTGTGAAGAATCCACAGCAGACAGTTTACCTGTGAGAGCTTGTATTTCACCCTTGATATGCTGGCATGGTAACAAACTGGGTTCTTCTGGCAGCTGCCAGGAAGATTTTCAGATGCTTTTAACTGTTCTTTGGAAAAGGAGCAGAAATCTAAACTTAGCAGTTGAGCTGAATATTTAAGAAGTCTTATTTTGGGTAGTGTAAAACAACTCTTTCACCTCCTAAAAACATAAAAGTTTTATGATTTGATATTTAAGCTACTGGCTCAATGCAGCCAGTGAAACCTACCTAAAATATCTGTAGGCTAAAGTGAGTTTTAAAAAACTTTAATAGGAATTATTGTTTTAACATATCTTTCTGCGAGTAGTCACTGACTGCAGTTCACAATGGGAAATTGAAAGAATCTGCCAATTTGTAACAAAGTAATGAAGCAAGTTACCACAAAAGCTTTCTATAGGACTGAAATAAGAGGTTCTGATGGTCTTTTTTTCAAAATGGAAAATGTTTAAGCTGGGGTAAAAAAAACTAGTGCTGGAATTTCCTGCTGATAGAAATGTCACCCTTAATCCCTTACATACACTTAATCAAGCAGATGTTTACTTTGGCAGCTAATCTTACTGGCTTGCATCTAGAAAATATTGTTTGCAAATGCTTACGTATGGCTTTCTTTAAATAGTATTGATTGGGTCTCTGAAGGCCAGAATTGTATTTCTGTCTATATTGATAGAAATGTCATACTGATTTAACATGCTTTGTGCTAATTCTTTGCCTCATGTTTCACCACTCCAGTAATAGTTTCTTGCCATCCTTTGGGAGTTGTTTTGCTCACTACATCTTGCTGCTCTCACCACCTAGCAGCTGTCATGCTTAATGCTGGTGGCTCCCAAGCCTAGGAGGAGAAGATTTGGCATAAATGAGGTCTCAGCCCAGAAATGGTTGCCCTCTATCCAGCACACTACCTAAATTCAGGGCAGAATAGTCTACATGGTCAGCCACTTGATAATGGTTTGAAGAAGTATCTGCTTTTGCAAAGGCAGAAAACAGCCTCTTGTAGTTTAGAGGCTGTTAAGTTAGGTAGTGTAGACTTTTACCACCATGACTGGCGGTCATGACACATGGAAACTGACACTGACACAATTCAGTGTTTCCTGATGGAGAAGCAGGGTAGAAAGCATTTAAAGGCATATGGCAGATGATTATAATGCCTTTTAATAACCATTCTCCTAGAGGTAGCATGCTTCAAGAATTCTCTAATGTTGATATCACTAGTTCCAGCTGTTTCTGACTGTAACATACTCTTCATCTGAAGATAAGTTAATAACTCTGGCTCTGAGCCAGTTTTAAAATGTCTTACAGCTTGTCCTAGATGGCTTTATCTTGCCCATTGTCTAAAACCTGTGAAACTGTGGTGGTGGTACACATTAATTGTTGCAAGTTTAAACTTCTATTGATCAGTTTTCCTGTAAGTGTTGATGTTTGCTTTGAAAATGAAGCATGGCCCCCTGGTTTGGTTTTGGGTTTTTTGCTTGGAACACCTCAGTAAAAACCTTATGCCTTGTCAAAAATCACAAATGTTTTTTGTGGAGCAGCTAATCTTATATGTTGCTGCTGAGGTCTCAGCCTGTATATGTGTCTGGTTTTGTCCTCCCTAGGTGTTTACATCCTTATTGGAGCTGGTGCACTTATGATGCTGGTTGGTTTCTTGGGATGCTGTGGTGCGTTGCAGGAATCTCAGTGTATGCTTGGCCTGGTAAGTGCTTAGAGCAGTGTTTAAATTTTTAGCAGCATAGTGAGGAAAGGAAAACATTACTGTGCAGTTAATGGACAATAGATGCTGGTTGTTTTGGCTCCACAATGTTTAAACTCCTGGTCACTTACATAACACTAAAGTGTTAAATATAGTTTCCATTTCTGACCCTAAATCCAAATGTCCCTATTGTGTTTGAATACAGGATGACCTCAGGAGTTAGTGACATATTCAGACACTAAAGTATGAAGGCTAGGGGTATATGTGGACACAGGACTTAAGATATTGATAAGAGTAAAGCTAATTAAACAGTTTGCCCTGAACTCTGAAGGCTGTGTTATGCATGAGACCAGAACTGTGGTATTTGATCCTTGAAACAACAAGCCTCTACTGTTTATAATCACAGGATGAGCTCTTCCAGTTAACAACTGCTCTGCAAGCCAGTTACTGGAGAGCAACCTCATTGTTTTCAGACTGGAGGGGCCAGTAGAGCTTACTGGGTTCATGCACATCTGTACACTTGTGGAACTACTCATCCAAATAACCAGATGTAGTTAATAAAAGACTACTGCTATAGCTGGTGAACAAACAATTCCCCTTTTGTGGCATGGAAGAAGTTGCTTTCATATTTTTCTTGTAAAATTATGTCTCTAGCCCTTTGTAATTCTGACCATATCTTTAAAGTGCCTTGTGTTTTGGACCTGGTAGTCAATTAAATGTAGAGCAGACACTTTTATTTCTATTTTATGGATTACACAAAAAAAGTAGTAACCATTAGCTCTTTAGGAGTTGATGGAAAGCTCCTAGGCAATGACTCCTAAAGCAATAGGAGTGACAAACCAGAGAAAAGAACTGGTGTCAGCTGTTGATGTGCCTGAGTGACCTGAACAACTTCAAAGTCTGAGTTAACAAATGATTGGCTTTAATTACCACTGATCAAAAAGGAGGACTTCTGCTTGGGAAACACTGCTGGGTGTTCTGATGCTCCTGGGAAGAAGTGCTGACCCAAAGCAATGTGGCTTCTTTCCTAGTCTTACCAGTGTTTCAGACCTCCACCTGGAACCTGATTAAGTGAGGGTTCCTGCAATGGTGGACACCTGGGGACTCAACAAGCTTGTAGTACATGTGTATGATGCTCTTTTGTGGTGCTGTGGTCTTAATGTGATCTTTCTTTTCTAGTTCTTCCTCTTCCTATTTGTGATTTTTGCCCTTGAAATTGCTGCTGCAATCTGGGGATTTGCAAACAAAGAAAAGGTAGGTTGCTGTGAAGTTGGCAGGGTGGTGGGATGCTGGAACAGGCTGCCCAGAGAAGCTGTGGATGCTTCATCCCTGGTAGTGTTCATAGTCAGTCTAGATGGGGCTTTGAGCAACCTGGCTTCAGTGAAAGATGCCCTTACCCATGGTGGGGGTCTAAAGTAGGTGATCTTTAAAGGTGTTTCTGACCCCAGCCATTCTGTAATTCTGTAACTGTGCCCACATAAAATTAGCTCTGTACTGAAATTTGTACTACTCAAATCCTGATTACCCAGGGAATTTGGGGGAGAGGAAGAAGACTTGCTGTAGCAAAGCAATAATTTAATAATGAGTCTGTAGCTGAGAAGCCACAATCCAAGATGGTGTTGCATGCTAGAAATGACCTTCAGGCAGTACCTGGTTAAGCTATGAAATGAAGCAGGCCATCACTGAAACTCTACCTTTTCTAGGTATAAGCTAGGGCAGATAGGGGCTGAATGTTTCTGCAGCTAAAACATAACTGGTTAGGGCTGTCTCTTTGCAAGCAGTCAAGATTATCTTGTTTCAAAGTAAGCTGCTTGGTGATCAGGGTTGCTTTTCTGCTTACATTATACAGGAGGGAAATACAGCAGCTTCTGGGGTACGTAAATGAATAGGGAATATCTTTATGTAACCAGTGGGCAAAGATTTGGTATTTTCATTCATAGAACCTCAGAGCTTTAGAAGGGAAAATTAATCTTACCTGTTTAGGTGTGGTTTCTAGGGTGTATACCAGTTAGGCTAACCTGTTCTGGGTGAGAAATACCGTCCACCTTCTGTTTCTACATATCAAATGGATGAGTGTTGCAGGTTGCAGAATTGTTAATGACTGACTTAAAATGAGTTTTTCATAATTAATACTAAGGTAAGACAGTAGTATACCACAACTCTTTGCTGTCCTGTAGGTTATTGAAGAGTTAAAGGAGTTCTACATGGAAACCTATGAAAAGAGATCTCAGGCACCTGCCAGAGAGACCCTGAAAGCGTTTCAGTTAGCCGTAAGTATGTGGTTATACTTAAATGAGACAGTAATGCAGCTTTTTAACACTGTTTTGTCATCTAGTCCCTTTACGTTGTTGTACTGAACTAACTAGAAACCAGTTTGTATTAGTAACAAATTGCAGAGGTATTTGTGTCAGTGAATTCAGTATGCCTTTTTGTCCCTTTGAACCTCTGAAATGCATAGAACCTTGCTTTCCTAAAACTCAGAAGCAAGGTGCTAAACTCTAGATCTGTGGGTACTGATCTAGGGACACTGTAGTATGCATACCTGCATCTCTGTGAAGAGCTCATCTTTGTAAGAGGTACAGGTTGTCATCAAAATGTGTCTGTGCTTTGAGATCTAGCTCTTCCTTTCATAATCTTTTCCTTTTATGCAATAAGGGCTTTTTAAAATGAGGCTTATATTACTGCCCTGGGTTCAGCAGTAGCAGTCATTTTTCTCCTTCTTAGTAGTTGGTGCAAGTGCTGTGTTTTTGACTTTCAGCCTGGGAACAGTGCTGTTAACTCTGTTTTTAGTTGCTGCTCAGTAATGTTTACTCTGACCAAAGACCTTCTCAGTCTCATGCTCTGCCAGGGAGGAGGGGAAGCTGACACCTGACCCAAACTAACCAAAGGGGTATTCCGTACCACAGCACGTCATGCCCACTGTATAAACTGGGGGCAGTTACCCAGAAGGGCTAGATCACTGCTTGGTCAGGCTGGGTATCGGTTGGTGGGTGGTGAGTGGGTGTATTCGCTTCCTTGTTATTTCTCTTATCATTGTTATTGGTGGTAGCAGCAGTGGTTTGTGTTACACCTTAGTTACTGGGGTGTTCTTATTTCAACCCATTGGAGTTACATTCTTTTGATTCTCCTCCCCATCCTTCCAGGAGGTGGGGGGAGAAAGGAGCTGGGGCAGGACATTGCAGGACTTCTGAGCAAATTTGCACAAGATCTGTGATAACCTGATGTAATTTCTTTCTCCAAATGCAGAGCAAAAGTAAGGATTATTTAACCTGGTTCTCTTCCTGTTTTCTCTTATAGCTAGACTGCTGTGGTCTTACAGGAGTTCTGGAGCAGCAGTTCATGGACACCTGCCCAAAGAAGACCATGCTTGAGTCGCTTTCTGTAGTGGTAAAGCATGACTTACTTCAACAGTTCTGCCCAATGAGTAGAATGAGAAACATGTTTCCGAGTAAACCCTTCTAGTCCTTGGGGAAGTACCCATATTGCACTTTGCAAATTATGTCTATATTCAGTCTGGTTGTGGAAAATCAACATACTATTACTATGGAAAGAACAAGCAGAGTCAGCAGGAAATCTGAACTTGGACAGGAAGTGCATGATCTGTGTCACTGGGCTTGCTAGAGGGATGGACAGCATAAGACTTCACCTAAAAAAAATGGCTAGAAGGCTCTCCTCCTGGCTGCTCCTATTGCCAGAGCAACTTCCTGGTGCTGCATGGGAGCTGTTGCCTTTCTTCTTGGTTAGGGAGCATGAGGTGGGAGCAGGTCTGAAGGGGAAAAGGGAGGGTAATGCACTGGTGGCCTGGTGAGTATGTCACTGTGAAGCCAATTCTCTATTATGATTCCCCTGTTGAAATTGCTGCAAAGGTGCCTGTATGCCATAGCTCTCTGTGGCATCTTGTATAGTTCCTAACTACCCCTTTTCCTCTTTCTTACTTGTTGCTTTTACTTCATGCTCCAGGACAGCCTGTATGAGTCTTCCTGTATAAATAAGTTTCTTATGATGCAGAAATTAAAGTTAATGACTTAATTTGTTTTTTTCATATTACTTGTGGTGTTCCTTTTGCTGCAGATAATTTTGTGCCTTCAAATAACTGACCACATGAAACACTTCAAATCTGTATTTAGACTGTATTTTTAGTCTTATCAGTACAATCTGCTATGAGTTAGCCTATGTGGAAGTAGCTGAGACAGCATGCAGGTTTTATTGCTTGGCTTTATTCTGCTAAGTGTGTTTAAGTTTCATCTGTTGGTTTCATCTTGTGGTTTGTTTATGGCCTAGTCTCAATTGTAGAAAAACAGTATATAGACTGTGAGATTAAAGGGATGTAATGGTGTGGCTCATCTGTGTGCCTCTACGAAGCACTGCTGTATTGATACTGACTTAACTGAGTAATTCTCACCAGTATATCCCTTTAATACTTGATTCAGTCTTTCCTTCTGGACTGTATAAGGGACAACTAAAGAGAAAAGCTTTCAGCAGCTCACTCTAGCCTGCTGCTGGAGTAAATAGGACAGGAGTTGGGATGAGGCTTTGACCAGCTACCAGGCTTGTAAAGATTTAGACCTTTGTAAAAGTTCCTTGCCGTTTTCTTTGGCTGCCATATGTCCTTGCTGGAGAAAGGACTGTACTTGACTTTTCTAGTTGCAGTGGTAATTCACTGTGCTAGGAGCTTCAAACTGGCATATCTATGAAACTACCCACAGCTTAGCATGTATGCAATGCACTTCAAGAAATCCTGTCATTACCATGTCTGGAAAATTACAATAGCAATTGGAAATATTAAGAGTGGCTTCAATCTGTTTCAGGAAGGGCTGAGCAATACATCAACTTAAATGATGACAGCCAGTAGTAACAAGCCAATTCTAGTACAATTGGTGTTGGTCCTGATCTACTTGATCAAGGGAATCCTGCTGTAACCAAGGCACAGTCAAGAGGTTTAGGTACTTGAAGAGTAGAGTTACTTCTCCAGTTTGTGTTGTAATATCCCTGGCTCTTTAAAGATTAAGAAAAAATTCCTTCACAGAGAGAGTGCTCAGGCATTGGAATAGGCTGCCCAGGGCAATGGTGGAGTCGCTGTTCCTGGGAGTGTTCACAAACCATGTAGATGAGGTCCTCAGTGATATGGCTTAGTGGTGGCCTTGGTGGTCCTGGGGTGGTGGTTGGACTTGATCTTAAAGGTCTTTTCTAACCTAGTTGATTCTGTGTGGAAAATAAAGGCCAGTTCAGAGCAGTTTTCAAAAGCTTCATCTCTAATACAAGCAGACTTGGTTGAAGGTGTAGCATCAGTTGGCAGGCTCGAGCTCAAACAAGCAAGCGTGTATGTATGTATGAAACACTAATGAATGGTCTGTTTCTTTTCAGTCATGCCCTGCTGCCATTGATGATGTCTTCAATTCAAAATTGAATGTGATTGGAGCAGTTGGCCTGGGCATTGCTATAATAATGGTGAGTTTTCGGGTTATTTAAAGGGTAGCTGTGTGGCTAAAGGATACTTGCTGCACAAGTCTGTTGAACAGTGCCTGACATGGCAGCCTACAAGCCCATTCTAGTAATGACAAGTACCAGCAGGATTGGGGTGTGTACTGCAGGGCCCTGAGGCAGCACAGAGGGTTGGGTGTCTTGGACCTCCTGGCTTCTGCTTTGGATTAAGATCTGCCTCCTTGTAGTTTTAGTAATGGTGAAGTTATCAGTAGTGCATGTGTGTGTATAAATACAGGGTGAAGATGTATTGGTCATGTTGCCAGCCCACATAATCCTAATATCTCTTGGGAATCCTTGCCTTTTTTTTGTTCTCCTTTTAGAACTATTAAGGATCTGCTAGAGAACTGAAATAACAGTGCTAGTAAGAAAATGAAAACATTTTTGTTTGACTTCTCTGAAGGAAAGTATGACATGGATGTGAATCTGCTGGAATGATCAAAGACTTCTTAGGAGATAGTGGTTTATAGCTGTTTATTTTGAAGTATTGAGCATGAAGGGGATTCATGAGGAGTGAAATTTTGAGGGTGGAGAGGAAGGGAGAAGGGACATGAATTGCAGAATAGAGTCTTAACATAGCTACTTTTCCCAGCCCAGAGGCTATGCTTGTCCCCATGTTGACAGAAGAATGTGCTTTGGTCTCCCAGTTTCTAATGTTTTTGTTTTCTTTACAGATTTTCGGCATGATATTCAGTATGGTTCTCTGCTGTGCTATCCGCAGAAACAGAGAAATGGTTTAAGAGCTTAAAAACCCAAGACTGCTGCACTATAAAATCTGTCATTAACTTTAGTGTTCTGAAAGCATTTCTAAAAAGTTATATATTTGTTACCTTTTTAATGCTTTATTTGGTACTGATGTAGGTTTGCTTTTTGTTATAGATTAAAATGATAAAGATATATCTGACTCAAGACAAATACTGTACATAAAATATCTGACTTTCTTGAAACTTACATAATTTGGATGTAATTTATGTTGGAGACAATTTGATAATAAAGAATAAGATGTATTGTGTGTTTGGGGTAGATGAGGTTATACTACGCTTATTAATCATTATTTGATGTGTGGCATGGAGTTGAACTTGCATAATGTGTCAAGCGTTAAATCACTAGGGCTTTAGTAGAAAGCAAGAAATAAGTCCTATGCCAATGCCATATTTGAAGGGAATTCCAAGGAATGGACTACTGTCAGAGCATGTTTGGGAAGGTGTTGTCATTTTCCTTTCATTGGTGTGTGTGAACAAAAGTAGCGCTGAATCAAATACCTAAAATGTTACTGCCTTAACACTTGCTGTTATATTCATGAAGGGTGGCAAAGGATGACTGTTGCAGTGGTGATGTGCAGGCAGTGCATACTTTGTACTTGGATGCAAACAGGCTGGGCTCTACCCTGGAGCCAGCTGGGCTGCTTTCTTCTATCAGCCTGTCTGCTGACATAACTGTGTCCCCTGGCATCTGACATAGCCTTAGTCCCTTGGCAAGGCAGATTCCCATAATGTAATGCTCAGGACTTTTCTCAGTGGCTGGCTTTGTGTTTTGTTTCTCCAAAGCCCCAGTGAATTACAGTCTCAAGAGCTTACAGCACATGTGCCAAATCTCAGGTTTCCAAGTGGAAAAAAAGTTGCATGAAAAAGTACAGCTCTGCAGTTGCTGCTTGCAGCAGCTAGAGCTGTGACTATCCTGTTTCAAAGTGGAGATGGGAGGGAACAGAGAAAGTAGTGTGGAAACTTTAGCCTAAAGAACTACCAATTTGTCTTCCACTCTAAATGTGTGGGGTTTTCCTTCTAAAGTAACCTTCTGGTGGAGACTACCTATGGACTTGGACCCTTACCCGCAAGTTGATGTGTGATACCTGTATCTGGTGTTCACCTACTGAAATATCTCAGCTGTGTTCCTCGGAGCTCCTTGTCTTTGTCCTTCAGGTATTACAAATGTCTACTAGTAGTCCTTGTTCCTATCTTTCTCTTTAAATTAGGTGGATATTTGTTATGAGAAGCCTTAAGTGTTGAGGGTCAGGCTCTGGTTGCAGCTCTGGACTAATGCATGAATGTATTGCCCACCTTCTGTGCTACACACTGTCACTTGTCTAAGGGTTGATGCAAACCCTACACCTCTTCTGTAATGTATTGTAGTGTTATGTGTTAATGAGGCCTTCTTAAAGTCTGGATTTCAAAAAAGTTAAATGGTAATCATGTTTTTGTGTGTCTTGGACTGGAATGACTCCAGAAAGGCGCTGATCTAATTTTCCTCCTTGGATATATGAGAGTACAGAGGGAAAAATCTAATCTCATACGGGACTTTGAGACCTACCATGTCCCTGAGCTCCTGCAGAACTGAGAAGTAGCTTCATTCCAGCTGTGCAATTCTGGGTGTGAAACTGAACCTGGCACCTGAAACAGCTGGAGTGAATTGCTGTCAACCATAATGGAAGTTTACTGCTGACTTCAACTACTCTTGGTTTTATTGCTCCATGATGACTGGTGCTTGTGTTCAGGTTGCCAGCATTCAACATGGCTCTAGTCCAGAACTAGGAGTGTTTGTCAGTGTCCAAGAAAATGCAATTGGTTCTAACTGTTATGGTGAGAATTAAGCTATAAGCTCAGCACCTCAGCTCACAAGATGGGTTTGGACAACAGCTATGGAAGAAGCTCTCAAACTGAAATCCAGATCAACTGAATATACAGAAGACTTAAGTTTATATCATCTGCTGTTTCTGCCTTCTACAAAAGTTGGATGGGGGCTTCCAGTGAGTTAGCTTTTACCTTGCAATACTGCTGCCTTAACAAGTGTCTACTGCAACACTTCATAATTTTGTGATGCCTGCTCCATTATCCCTATATGCTAAGTCCTACAGCCCAATCATTAGCCCTTCTCTTTGAACATCCTATGTGTGTAGGTTGGTGAGTTTTGAGTAACCAGCAGATGAGCAAGTTGTGTTTTTATTGAAGAAGAACTACTGTATATTACTTTCCTTCTAGCAAGAGCATGAACTACAGATTCAGAACATGGTTGCAGTCATCCTATGATCTGCAGGCGAGCCTGGAATGAATGTCAGAATGGGCTTGTGGGATGTTTTTTCTTATGGATTTGCTGTGGCAGAAGTGACTAATGGTGGTATAATGCTGGTGAAGGGAGGGAAAGTGAAGCGAGTCAGGACACAGCAATGATCCGTGTTAGGAAGAGATCTGTCCTGGGTCGGTGGGTCAGCAGAGAAGCAAGTACCAATGCTTGGAAAAAAAAAAAATTGAGAGTAGGAAAACATTATCCTAGAGGTGGGATGTATTGTCTGTTGGGAGGAATAGACAGGAGGAAGGGAAGCATACAATAATATAAAACACTGTTTTGACTTTTCTATGCCATCCTAGTTTCTCTGTTGGTAAACAAAGGTGTAATGGTGTTAGACTGCAAAGCCTGCCTGGAATGTGAGAAACCACTCCAGGAAGGAAAGGGGCTTAAGGAGCTTTATTTCCAAGCACAAGCAGACTTCTTCATTTAGCACAGGTGCTGCTAATCCTTAGTGCTAAACTTGTAGCTGTGTTTTATGGCCCAAGTGACACTATATATTGTACATCTATGTGAATTGTTTGTGGATAGCAAAGGGATCCCAAAACACTGTTATGATCAGAGCAGTCCTAGGCTAGATCTTTGCTTGGATTGGGCTAGTAGAGATGACTCGTAATAGGAGCAAGTTCTATGTTAGACACTAACATAAAACACCACCTGTAATGCTGTCAAATGACTAAAGTTATGCAAAGATGGTATTGAGGTGATGAAAGATGTGGCAAAGTGGCAGAGCACAGGTTGCTGCTGGGTTTTGGCTTGTGTAGCTGGGGACATATTGGTGGGTTTTTCACAGGATTGCTCCCAGGCTGATGTCAGTTGTGCCTTTTGCCTGCTGCTGTGAGGAAAACGAGGAAGGATAAAGCCAAACAGCTAAAGACTATGGCTATTTATATGTTGTAAGCTATCCAAAGACAGTAGGGAAAAAATAGTGTATGCAGAATATTGCAGTTTGCACCAGGAAACAGTTTATCTGCTGTTGCAAGCTTATAAAATGTTTGACTAAGGGGTAAGGACTTCACAGGTGAAGCCTGAGGAAGGCTGGATTTGGGGATCTATAAGGCAGTTATGCCAGAAGAAAGATCTTTTTTGTTTGTTGCGGGGGGGGGGGGGGGGGCATTGTTTGGTTTTGGGTGGTGGTTTTTGTTTGTTTTTTTTTTTTTACTGACTAGAAGATCAGAGCTAGCCTACCTTGGAGGGGAGTCTCGAAGCTAGCTGCACAGGTAGGAGTGGCAGGAGAGCATTGCCAAGGCAGGGCAAGCCTGGTTTTCCACAGAGACAGCTTCCTCTTTTACAGTGGAGCTGCAAAGGTCTTTTGTGGTAGAGCATTGTCATTTTACAGGAATCCTAGCACACCAGCCCTGTAACTGAATACAGGGAAAAAATGACATCAGGTCCATGAACCATGGGAAGGGTGTGGGATGTGGGAAGATGACATTAGTGGAAAGAAAGGTGTGAGCCTAACATATTTGTAGGGGAATAAAACTATCTTCTCAGACACATTAAAAACTTGAATCCATCATACCACCTTCTGAGTATGTTTCAGCAATTAACAGGCTTACTCATAAAGGGTGTAGAGAAGATGTATTTGCAGAAGGGGAGGATGTAGTTCCCTGCAGGGTGACCTCAAAAAGAGCTCCTAAAGGAATTGCTCCAGTGGACAAAAAAAGCCTAATCTTATTTTACCAGCTATCTATCTCAGTCAGGGCTATACTACACCCTCAGCACCCCTCCATAGGAAAGAATATGAAGTGCTTGCAGGCAGATTTTTAGGACCTGCCTGTACATCTCTGTTGTTCCTGCTTTTCAGCTGAGTTTGTCAGTCTAAGCAAACTTTGCAATTGCTCTGAGGGAAGACGAGGAAAACATAAAGTGGTGGAGACTAAATCCTGGTGAAGAGTCGGATGCAGTTTCCAATGGGGGAGGTGCTGGGTTGTTCAGGCTGTGCCCTGCCCTGTTTTCTTACAAGCTCTTAAGACGGGCACTTGCAAGCCTCTAGCTGTCAGCAGTGATAACGGGCAATGCAGGGGCTCTGTGTACTACAGCACTCTTGTTTTCATCCTATTTTATTGTATTGTTTCACTGCCAGCCTGGTGCTGAGGCTGGTAATACAAAGGTAGGTTCGGGCTGGAGGACCCTGGATTGGCATGGGTGTGCTGTGTAGCTCTTGAAACTGACCCAGGAGACTTGGAGCAGAGTAAACAAGTCCATGGAGGACCCGCTGCTACCACTGCGCATGAGGGACATCCAGGGACTGAGCTGGTGTCCTTGGGTGCGAGTTGCTGTTTTAACTATGCCAGTGCAAGCACTAACTTAGCACAGCCTGAGCGGGGTTTTGTTGGGTTTCTATGTTTAGGGGGTGGTTGATGCTATGGCTAGTGTATAATTATGGTGATTATAAAATAGCCATCTTTTCAGTTGCTGCCTGTTGGCAGCTCTGAAGAAATGACCTAATTTGAACTGCCAGCAGTAAGGATCTTGAACCCTATCAAAAGTCACTTTAAAATGAACCTAGAACATCTAGACAGTTGTCAGACACTGCTGGCAATGTTAAAAATAGGTTAGTGAGATTTTTCCACTGCTGGACACAGGCTCCCACATGTGTGGCTCCCACCAAATGAATCCACAAGGCACCCATTCATGGTATCTTGAATGCTTCTCTTCTTTAGCTGCCTGCGTGATGTTCAATAGTTATTCAGGCTGTGGCTGAGCAGTGACCTTTTATGCCTTGTTCTTAATGCTGGCCTTTAGTCCCTGACTTGCCACGCAGTGGACCACTGTGCTTTCACTGCGCTTTCCCATCAACAAAATCACTCTCTCACAAACACTAACATGGCAGGTCTGGCTCAATAAAAGGAGCTTGTCTCAAGATGCTGCCTCATGGCTGTGTATGAGGAAGGAATAGGGTGGAGAGGAGCTGGGGAAGTTGCACTGCAGGACAGGTTTTTCAGCTCT